GTGGTGGCTAGGGTTTTGGGAAAGGGGTTCGTGAAAGAGGAGACGAGAGGGTAGGGGGGTCGGGGTTCGGACAATTTTATACCAAGTGACACCCACTTCCCAACCGTTGGATCAAGAGACCTCGACGGCTGGGATGGGTCTTCAATGAAACGGCGTCGTTTGGACATCAAGAGGGACTGATTGGGTTGGACCCGGTTTTTGGGCAGATTTTCGGAGAAGGAGTGGTTTGGGCCTGGTTGGGTCATGGGTGCTAGATGACTTGGGCTTGGAAAAATGAATAAAGAAGCCCAAAAATCTGAATCTCTCTTTGTTTTTTTTTTCTTTTCTTTTTCTTTTAAAATTAAAACTAAAAACCAAAATTAACTCTAAAAAACTAAATTAACCTACCCAATTATATTAAGCTCTATTTAATAATCAACACTATTAATTAAATACCCATTCAAAGGAAAACTAAACAAAATTCAAAGATCAAACCAATTTTTTGTGATTTTTGTAATTTTGTAAAACCCTAATTACTAATTAATCTAAAATATGTAAAACTAAGTCCTAAATGTGCATGCAACGTATTTTTTTTTGTATTTTCCATTAATTAAAATAAAGTAAACATGCACAAACAAATGCAAACAATTAACAGAAAATGCCACGAAAATCCACACAATTACAAATAATAAAAAGAAATTATGTTGTTTTGAAACTATGGGAGTAATTCATATAGGGCAAAAATCACGTGCTCACACTTGATAGCGTATATCAAACAAAAAAACTGTAGGCATATGAATTTTATTAAAATAAAATTCATAAAATAATTTGGATTATATTAGTATAAATAAATATTTTGGGCTAATATAATGGAATTAATTATATAAGTCCAATATATATGGTCTAATTAATTAAGTCCGACTCCATTGGGCTAGCCCATTTAATTGGGCTACAAATGATGAGCCCACTTAATTAGGCCCAAGATATCATCTCCTAGAGGCCCAGTTTGATGCCACGCGTGAAATGATGTGGTACGCCAAGTCAAACAAAAGAGCCAATAGGATCGTGCCACATGTCAAAATGACAAGGCATGCCAAGTCAAATTAAATGGCCAATGAAACTGCGCCACATGTGCAAGTGACATGTTCTGGCCAATCAAACATGTGCAAGTGACATGTTCTCGCCAATCAAATACGGCCTTGTCACTCATCAATCTGATTGGTCGGAAAGAGTTTGTTCTCATCATAACTCTTCTCTTTCACAACTATAATAGGGGTTTCATAACTCAGAAATGACACTAGAAGTTATAACAAGAAATAAGAGAGAGCTCGTGGATCAAACACCGTAAATTTCTCTACAAGTTTCAAGCTTCAAACAAGCAAGTTCAAGTTCAAGAAATCAAGTTCAAGCTCAAATACTACGATTGCTGCAATATCTTTCGGTCTTAATTTTATTTTCTCGATGCAATTTTGTCTACAAAAACTATTACATTAGACTATAAATAACTATCAATAAGAAATTATTATTGTTTACCGAAGATATTCTAATATAAGAATATTTTAATAAATCATACTATATTTGTCAATGTATTTATTTCTTACTAAACGTATACTCCATTAATTTATCCAAACTTTAGCTATAACTCTATAAAGGTAAAATTAAAATAATTTTCATGTGACAAAAAAGTAAAAAAGATTCATATACCGAATCGACCAAACTAAAATAGTTGGTTTTGATTTAGTTTTGATAAAAATCGAACCAATCGGACTCATATACCTCCCTAAAGCTATCAATGGATCGACTCCAACATGAATTTCGATGGCCTAGTGGAACTACCAATCAGCTAAAGAAGTGTGTTCGGACTACTTTTTTAGAAAGAATATTTAGAAGAGTATTATGCTAACTTTTGTGAAAATTAAAGATCGCTGACTTATCATTATCTATCTATATCTATATTATTATAAAAGCATGAATAAAATGTTGGATTACAAAAATAATCTTTTAATATTATGCATAATAACTCACAGTAAAAGGACATAATCGGAATTCTAAACATTAGCCTTGTAATCTTATTAGTTTTAGGACATAATACTACACGTTAGGAATCCTACATGATTACCTTTAGTTGATTTATATTAAGATTTCATTCTCTTTAGACTTTACACATAATGCAAATCTCTCCTCTATTCCCTTCCTCTCGCGCTACAAAAAAAGCTGTTCAATGTAAACTTTTCCATTGGAGCATTACCTAATTAGTTCCAGACCCTGAAGCTACTTTCTTTTTCTGAAGTAAAGGCCAGGTATACGTTTTAGCGAAAAATACTGAGTAGTGATCAGCATACTAATTACAATCAATCCTGGGTCATTTAAGCCTTGACACTGTGTACAAACACCGAGATGCATGTAAAAAGTCAACTTTGAAAGAAAAAATCTAAAGAACAAGGTAACTTCATCAACCATTAATTTGTAATGCCATGAATGGGCGAAAAAGGCTAAATTATAAAAGCATGAATAAAATGTTGGATTACAAAAATAACCTTTTAATATTAAGTATACTAACTCACAGTAAAAGGACATAATCGGAATTCTAAACATTAGCCTTGTAATCTTATTAGTTTTAGGACATAATATTACACGTTAGGAATCCTACATGATTACCTTTAGTAATCCTATTAGTATAATTATTTTCGGGTATATGGATATATAATACTACATGTTAGCATGTAAATCTAATACTTTTAGGAACATGTTAGACTTTCTATTAGTATAATAACTTTCGGGATATGGGCATATTTTTAGTCATGTAATCCTATTGTTTTTAGGATATACTTCTTAAAATATTCCTATTACTAATTTAATATAAAAACGTATTATACTCTGCAAATCCATTTAGAAACAAGAGAGCCTATATTTATTATAAAAGTACGAATATAATATTGATAGACTAAAATAGCCCTAAAATATTAATCAGAAGAGCTCATAGGGAAAGGACATAGCTGTAATAACTAATTTTTTTTGGACTACAATAACTTCTATGTTAATTTTTTTAATATTTAAGATTTTAAAATTAATACAATATTGTCTATTGAATTCTTATTAAAAACATGCAGGAAGGTTTAACAAAATCAATTTCGTAAGAATCCTCCATATTGGTAATACTTTACCACTCTATAATATTCAATACAAAAAAAAAATAATGCTAAACGGACTGCATAAAGCGTTAAAATTGAGCTAAAAATTCCCATGATAATATATTAATTATATTATATTTAAATTATTTTTTTAATCAAATAATATTTTTTTATTATTAATTTTTCGTGTAATATAGAAAATTATACCTAATTATTTAAGAAAACTGATAGTTTATATGAGTCCACCAAACTATAGAGTACCAGGTCCTCTATGAGTTTCCACTGAGAATACTAATAAAACAGTAAGTAAATAAGACAGGGAGTTTTACGTGGAAAAATCCCTGCTCAAGGAGATAAAAAACCACGACCTACACTTCTAGGATTTCAACTTTACTATGAGCAACTTTTAGATTACAACCTATGCAATCTAGGAATTAAACTCTTAATCTCTCACTAACTCGTAATACACCTATTACAAATCACTTTGCAATACACCTATTACAAAGATTTCAACTCATGACTAACTCTAGTCACGACACAAACACAAAGGGTTTATGGTTTTACAAAGGGTTTCCTAAGCAACGCTTCTAGCTAAGCAAATTAGGAATTACAATGAAGAACAATTACAAAGTTACAACTCAACTAAGGACAACAAAATACTAGATTTAGGAACTGGTCCATAGTAACGTTAAACTTTGTTCTTGAGGCACTTGAGAATTGAATGCACGAATCTGATAAGGCTTGAATGCTTGAGGTAAATTCTCAAGTGTTCAAGTGATGTTTTGTTGTAATACTCTTGTTAATACACCTTTGATGACATCACTTGAATGATGTAAGCACTTGGTTGGTCAAAAGACAAGTAACTGCAGAACTGTGCTGCACTGTGTGCACTGTTTTTGTGGCAGTCACTTTCCAGCTGTACACAGTTGACTTTCGTACTGCTGTCAGGGAAACACAGGGGATCAGATCCCTGTGTTGGTTCTCTATCTTCTAAGGTTGCAGCAGTTCACATTAGCTGCAGTCCATTGATTAGCAATGTATACCAAGTGTGTTAGGTTCCCTATCTGGTTCTTTGACAGTAAGTTTGTTAGATCATCAAACATAAAGCTAAGACATTGAAAACACATCAAAAACTAAGAAAAATTTTAAGAACATAAATGTGTGAGCAAAGAAAGAAAAAAGTTGATAAAAGCCAATACCACTAATGACTCTGCAAACATAAAGATCTAAAAGTGGAATGCCAGATCCATCTTTTTACTCTTTGAAAATAAATTTTTTGGTGGATAAAATTATGATTACGGTTAAATATTCAAACATGAGATGAATTAATATTAAAAATCTAAATCAACAGAAAATAAATTATTGGATATCGGTGAACCGTTTAGTGGAAAAGTAATAGTTTGGGAGGTGGTTTATGTCAAGTACGATCAGTAGTTCCAAAATTGCCCAAAGCAGAAATTGTAAAAGCTAGCTTGCCAAAATTATACTTATGACGTCAAATAAAAAATATTCAAATGACAAGAAATATAAAAATAAGAACAGATCCAACATTCAGTGACTTCTTGCTTCATGTCGGAAACGAAGAAGAGCATCCAATAAAGATGATTTGGTTCTGATACAAAAAAATACCGTCTATAAAGAAGTGTTCGGTAAGATACAATCACATTAGATACCTTTAAACTATAATACAATTATCTACTTAACATGACTAAAATTGATCATTTGTGTAAGTACTGTTGATGTCCTTTTATTTTGAATTAACGTATTATGCTAATGCAACAATATTTTTCGGCATTTAGATGATTGTTGTAGTATTATATATATAAAACTTCTCTCATTGTTTAAATTTTATTGTTCATTCATATAAATAAATATTTAAACCATTATGTGTCATTATTAATAAATACTAGTATTAGTAAAAGGACCGAAAAGTAAATGACGTTACATTGATACTGGAACAGTGAGCTTAGCGTCTCACAAGTCACAACATAGAAAGCCACTCCTTTTGTTATTAATTACTCCTACTATTAAGTGCTTAAAACAGAAAGAGAGTGGTCTCGGTTATTAACCAATGTAGTACATAGGATCAGGGACTTTGAAAGTACGAGAACCCACGTTTTCTCCTATCAGATCACTCCATTGGTCTCCAATGTTGCCAACAATTCTATATCCAGCTTTTACCAGCTCCGTTCTCTTGCTCGATTTGAACACCGCTGACTTTGGTGAATCATTTTTTTCCCTGCATTTATCATCAATCATTCCCAAAACAAGTAGTACTAATTATTTCAATCTTACAGTTTAAAAAAATAATAGAGAGATAAGAAGCATAATAGGAATATTATTAATAGTACTAAGAGAATAGGTAGAGGAAGGAAATTAAAGAGATATGCTTACTTTAGAACGAGCCATAACCAATAAGTATAACCAGCTTTCTTTAGATTGGAAATTCTTGCTTTTCTGGTGAACATTGGAGTTCCTGTTATAAAAACGGGCTTGATCCCAAGAGACAACACCACCTTGTATAAACGAAGTATTGCTGGAATAGCTGGTGCTTTTCCCTCGCTCACCCACTCATTAAACTTCGCACTGTTGAACGGTATTGCCCTGAAATCAAATGCATGAAATCGCTTGCATACCTACTAGCTATAAAACCAAAGTGTATATATACATAACACATCAAAAAAGAAATCATCAAAATCTTAGACTGTCAGTATGGTTTTTACCTGTGGTAACACTAAGATGCTTTTCTCTTTTTAGGTTATTATTCTCACTTTTAAAGTTAGTTGTACCTATTTTTTATAGTGTCAACCTATAGAAGCTAAACATGGAAATATAACATGTTGAAACAAGTAGCTTGTCTTATTTTCAAGATTACTAATCTCACTTATTATAGGCAGTTACACGTAATTATCTTTTAGGTCACATAATTTTGCACTTTCAGAGTATAAAAGTTCAACTAAAAATATAGATTAAAACCCATTTAATTGTGTTTTTTTTTTGTTTTACCCAAAGGCAACGTCTGATCGAGCATAGAAAGGAAGATTGGAGAGAGTAGTCTCGTCAATATCAAAGACCCAGACATCCCTGCCATCGCCGCCAAGTTTGAGGCCTTTGGCGTACTTAATAGCAGCATCGGCTACGGCCTCGCAGTCATGACGATATTGTTTGCCGATCATGTAGTAACCTAAATAGTTTTCACAAGCACCTGGCACCATTTTCCAATCCCGAAGGTTGTTGGTCTCCACCCCTAGGCGCCAACTTAGGCAGTCCAATTGCGGGACGGGATAACCAGCAGCGCCAGTCTGTGGCCTTAGACGGTGGATCTCTACCACTTGGCTTATGACCTCTACATTATTGGAAGTAGAGGCCACTGTCACAGCTACTATAGTTGAAAGAAAGAAAGACAAAGTGATAAACCTCATATTGTGGTTTTAACAAAATGATGGAAGATGCTTAGATAAAGCCGGTTTACTGTGGCTTAAATAAGATTTTGAAGCAATGCAATCAAACAGGTGATCACGTGTTTCGCGACTTGAATAATGCTTTCTCAGGTGAATCACCAGTCACTAATCGTACTAAAAATATAAACCACAAAGTCTAAAAGATAGAGGATTTAAGGACAAGGAAGATAAGGGAATCAACCAACTTTATTATTCTTGAATGTGTTTATGCTTATTAGCATTTGTTTTCGTGTATCAAATGCACTAGATCCATATTGATTAGGTAGATGGGTTAATTCTCCGTATTCATTATCTTGTATTCAAGCTACATTCATCATTTCAATCAGGGGTGGCAATTTGAGTCCAAACCTATTTGATCCGCCTAATCCGTTTAAGGTTGGACTCGTCATTGACCTGCTCATTTATTGAAATCAACCCATTTTGACCCAAATTATTTTAGCCCATCTAAAGTTGGACTAATTTTTCATCCAAATCGATCCATGAGTAACTTTGCAAAAATATATTTAAAAACCTGTCCATTTATTGACTCAACCCATTTTGACCCGCCCATTTGACACCCCTTATTTCACTACTAGATAATTCGCTTTCTAAGTAAATTAGTCACTATTATCTAAACCTAATCACTATACAAATATACAAGTTTCTAAGCGGATTTAATAAATTTCTAACAAACACCTTATTAGATGGGGGAAAAACACCTAAATCAGATGTAACATAATTATGTAAGCAAGAACCACTAAGTCTTATTCTCGCTAAGTTGTTTCTGTGTTAGGAGTATCTATATGCATGTGTGTATGTAAAGATATAATCATTAAATTTTATGTTATACGTAGTAAACATTTTGGATTTTCACATCCAAGATAGCCTCTAAGCAGGGGCGGACCTAACTCCGCTTACAGGTTCGGCCGAACTCAGTAGCTTTTATGCAAATTTTGTATTTGTCTTGTGAAATTCATAAAATATGTACAAATTATTTGTTTTGAAACATTTATTGTCTATTTTCATTTTCTTGAGCCGGGTGTCATGACCCCAACCCGGTCGTGATGGCGCCCAACACAGTGCTAGGCAAGCCCGACCAATTCAACACTCTCAATCCCTCATATAGAGTTCATTACCAATTAACAGAGTTTAAATACCAAACTAACATGATTATAAATCTGTAACAATAGATAAAATGTGCGGAAAACAAGAAATATCACTACAAATCCCACCGATCTGGTGTCACGAGTCAAGAGCCTCTAATACAAGTCTGAGGAACAACCTAAACAAACGATAGTCTAAAATGCTGAAAGTAAAGAGGATAGAGGGAGAAATCGGGTCAGCGAACGCCATGCAGCTACCTCGATGACTCCGGTGAGATCTGAATAGTAGCAATAGCTCAATCTACGCCTCCGGAATACCTGTATCTGCACACATGGTGCAGGGAGTAAAGTGAGTACTCCGACTCAGTGAGTAATAGCAATAAATAATGATTGACGGAAAGAAATCTCGTAAAAAGCACTAAGCAGTTCTATATCAAAGCAATAAGAACATTTAAACAGCAACTGAATGAAGAAGTCAGGTAAAAACCCTTTAGGCCAGTACTCAACTCATTTACTCCTCACGATAACCGAAATCATAATTATACCACTACGGCGTGCAGTCCGATCCATATAGTATACTGCTGCGGCGTGCAGCCCGATCCATATATATATATGTACTGCTGCGGTGTGCAGTCCGATCCAATAATAATAGTCGACTGCGCTCACTGGAGGTGTGCAGACTCCGGAGGGGCTCCTACAGCCCAAGCGCTATACTACTGCGGCGTGCAGTCCGATCCATATGAATGTACTGCTGCGGCGCGCAGCCCGATCCAATAATATACTGCTGCGGCGTGCAGCCCGATCCATATAAATATATACTGCTGCGGCGTGCAGCCCGATCCAGAACATATCAAATACCCTCACTATAGGGTTCTCAACCCCTCTCAGTCACTATAACTTAGCCTCTCCGGTATACTAAGATAAGATAGGGATCCCAGTCCACATATTACTCTCCTTTTGGTTTAGTTATTCCAAAGCCGGTTCATATTAGACTAAACAGTTAGAAACATGACTGAGGGTATGATTTTTAACAAGTAAAGTGAGGTCAATCAGTACAAATGCCCCTACGGGTTCTACAGGTCGGCACAAGGCCCCAAACATGGCTACTAGCCCAAACTATTATGATATTAATTAAGGCTCAGTCAAAAATACAGTAGAATCATCAATCGGGATGAACCGGGTCCAAATCTCCAGCAGTAATGGACCCCACGCTCATCATGCAGCGTGTGTCACCTCAACATAGCGCTACGTTGTGCAAATCCGGAGTTTCAAACCCTCAGGACATCATTTATAACCATTACTCACCTCAAGCCGGCCAAAATCCTAGCTCGCTATGCCCTTGCCTCGCAAATCAACCTCCTCGCGAGCCGAATCTGGCCAAAACCACAACGAATACGTTACAATAGGCTAAGGGAATATAACCCAATCGAAAAGACTCGAAAAACATCGAAATTTCACGAAGTTGGCAAAACCCGAGCCCCGGGCCCACTTCTCGAAAAATCAGAAAATTAACATCACCGGATTCATCATCTCGCCGCGAGTCTATACATATCAAATTTACTGAAATCGGAGTCCATTTGACCCCTCAAATTCCACTTTGAAATACCAAATTTCCAAGCCCTAGCTTTACCCTCTTTTGATGAATTTCCACAATTTCCATGTAAATTCTACCATTAATTCATGTATTTAGGCCAAGGAACTCACCTCCAATCACACCTAGTCGAAATCCCCTTCAAATTCCGTCCAAGAGCTCTCAAGGTCGATCGAAAATGGTGGAAATGGACTTAAGCTCGCGGAACAAAATAAGCTTTAAAAACCCTTCTGATAACAGGGATTTTCGCATCTGCGGTCCCATAACCGCATTTGCGTCTACCGCTTCTGCGGTCAAATTTCCGCTACTGCGGATCCTCATTTAAAACCCACGACCGCATCTGCGGTCCTCTACCGCATATGCGGACCTCGCCTCTGCGGATGGTTGTCCGCTTCTGCGGAAATGCCGAATCCACACCCTTCCGTTTCTGCGACACATCTACCGCATCTGCGGCACCACATCTGCGGCTCCAAACCCGCACCTGGATAGACAGCCCCCTACCTCAAAAACTCGCACCTGCGACCAAACACTCGCATCTGCAGAACCGCATATGCGGCCCATATTCCGCAGATGCGGAAACACCAGATACCAGCAAAATCCTGCAATTCACCAAGGTTCAAAACTCCCCGATCGCCATCCGAAATCATCCCGAGGCCCCCGGGACCTCAACCAAAAACACAAACATGATCCAACACCTTATTCAAACTCGCTCGAATCATCAAAACACCACGAATAACACCTAAACCATCAAATTCAAGCCTAAGTTCATCCAAATCTTCCGAAACTCGCATTCGATCAAAAACCCAACCAAAACACCTCTGAATGATCTGAAATTTTGCACACACATCCAAAATCACCTAACGAAGCTACAGCAACTCTGGGAATTCCATTCCGACCCTCGGATCAAAATCTCACCTACCAACCGGAATTCGCCAAAATACTAACTTCGCCAATTCAAGCCTAATTCTACACCGGACCTCCAAAATCACTTCCGATCACACTCCTAAGTCACAAATCATCCCCCGAAGCTAACCAAAACACCGGAAATCACATCCGAGCCCTCTAACTCATAGGTCAACATCCGGTTGACTTTCCCAAAACAAGCCTTCCTTAAAGAGACTAAGTGTCTCATTTCCTACCAAAACCAATCCAGATCAACTCGATCACATCAAATACCGACTATGAAGCATAGAGAAAACATAAGATGGGGGAAACGGGGCGGTAACTTACGTGACGACGGGTCGGGTCGTCACATCCTCCCCAACTAAAACAAACGCTCGTCCTCGAGCGGGTCAAGAAACATACCTGAAGCCTCAAACAGGTGTGGATATCTGCTCTGCATCTCCCGCTCAGTCTCCCAAGTAGCCTCCTCCACGGGCCGACCTCTCCACTGCACCTTTACCGAAGCTATATCTTTCGATCTCAACTTTCGAACCTGACGACCCAAAATAGCCACTGGCTCCACATCATAGGTCAAATCATCATCCAACTGAACAGTGCTGAAATCCAATACATGAGACGGGTCCCCAACATACTTCCGGAGCATAGAAACATGAAATACAGGATGCACGCCCGACAAGCTGGGTGGCAAGGCGAGCTCATAAGCCACCTCCCCAATCCTCCTAAGTACCTCAAAAGGTCCAATGAACCACGGACTCAACTTCCCTTTCTTCCCAAACCGCATAACACCCTTCATGGGCGAAACCTTCAGCAAGACCTTCTCACCCACCATATATGACACATTCCGAACCTTCCGGTCCGCATAACTCTTCTGACGCGACTGTGCTGTACGAAGCCTCTCCTGAATCAGCTTCACCTTCTCTAATGCATCCTGAACCATCTCTGTCCCCAATAACCTAGCCTCGTCGGGCTCGAACCATCCCACCAGAGACCTACACCGCCTCCCATACAACGCCTCATACGGAGCCATCTGAATGCTCGACAGATAACTGTTGTTGTAGGCAAACTCTGCAAGCGGCAAAAACTCATCCCAAGAACCTCCAAAATCAATAACACAGGCACGCAACATGTCCTCCAATATCTGAATAGTACGCTCGGACTACCCGTCCGTTTGAGGATGAAATGCTGTGCTCAACTCCACCTGTGTACCCAACTCCCGCTGAAAAGTCCTCCAGAACTGAGGAGTGAACTGGGTACCCCTATCTGAGATAATGGACACTGGAACCCCATGCAATCGGACAATCTCCCGGATAAAGATCCCTGCCAGCCGCTCCGAAGAATAGGTAGTACATACTGGAATGAAGTGCGCGGACTTGGTCAGCCGATCCACAATCACCCAAATCGAATCAAACTTCTTCAAAGTCCGAGG